TATGAGCTCACCTTATAAGCGAACTTACAGCTGCTCATAAATCCAAATTTGCCCTATGGCCTTGGTAATATATACTTTTTTCTAATATCAATTTCAGGCATTTCCTGCTGTGTCTCTTGAATAAATAATCACTATTAAATTTTTTTTGGATATAGATAAAAGAGAGGTTGTTCGTATGAAATTGGTGAATCTTAGTTAGTCGAAATACAAGTACTTCTTCAGTGCAGCTAAAGCTGCTAAAATGATTCCTCAGAGTTGATAATATCTTTAAAGCAGCACTCAGGAAGCGCGTACCTGATCCCAGCTGTTATTTGTTTACTTCTTTAACAGATACATTCATGTATCTGCATTGCCTTACATTGCACTTATTCTTTAAAATCAAATAGTAGAGAAGTTCATATTCTTATTATCCATGTATATGCTCTTAGTAAATAATAAAAAACATGTAACAGGACTGACTAAATTGTGAAACTGCTGCTGAATATAGTAACATACTTTTATATTAAAGTTGACAAAACTTATTTAAAAATGAAATAAATATGTGATAATTTTTATGTTAAAGTAAATGAATTACAAAAAAAATCATTACAACTATTTTTATATCAAATCAAATTCTTTAGTTATAAGTTTTTGTCGTACATTTGAAACTTCCTACCTTTCGTAAGACATTTTAATCTTCCTACTTTTCGTAAGGGGCGTCAAACTAACGTTTGAGTCGCTCGAAGACCTGATGGGTCGATAATACTTGCAAGTCTTACAGTATTTCAAGGTCAAGTGCTTTATTTCTCTCAAACTTCCTTGTGCAGTTCGTCAAAACAACAGCAGCTTATGAGATCATTGCCATTTTTCCGGCGAAAAGTGACGTTCTGTACATAAAGAATGTCTATTCTAGTGAGAACTCGAGTTTCCGCCAAACCGCATCTTCCACTTTTTTCTCACTTTGTACGCAGTCTGACCATGTCAGAGTATCTGAGTGTCGAAAACTACACTAACTGACGTTTGAATTACTCGATGACCTGACGGGTCGATAATACTTTAAAATATTAGAGTATATCATGGCCAAGTGCTGTATGTCTCCTAAAATTTCTCGGCCGTTCGTCTAGATAACAGCATTTCATGAAATCATTGCAATTTTCCGGCGAAAATTGGATTCGTACATAAACACAGGCAATACTAGTGAGAATTCAAATTTTCGCCAAACCGCGTCTCCAACTTTCACATTACTTTGTACGCAGTCCGACCATGTCAGAGTATCTGAGTGTCGAAAACTACATTAACTGACGTTTGAGTCGTCCGATGACCTGACAAATCGATGATACTTGCAAGTCAGTGAATATTTCATGGTTAAGTGCTACTTCTCTCTCAAACTTTCTTGGCTTTCCGTCTTGATAACAGTGTCTCATAAAATCATTGCTATTTTTCCGGTGAATAATAAATAATAATAATGGATAATAAATAATCATTTTCTTATAACTCTACCGTCCATTCGTTAGAACCCAAGTTGTGTACAGTCAACCACTTCTAATAATTTTATCCAACGATTAAGATTGTTATCGCAGAGATCGTCTAAGGAGGGAGGTAGAATATCAAAATGGGCTTTGGCGAGAGTACGAGGTGGTCATAATTTCAAATATCCTAATCGAGCTTGAAAGAAAACTTAAATAGCTCAAGCAGCCAAGCAATACTATTATAATTAATAGGATTATGAGAAATTCACCGAGAAATACAAGCCGAAACTGTCAATAACGAGACATATATGAGCGAATTAATTCGGTAATGCAGCCCTACAACATTGACTGAAACGGGATTAGTCGAAATATCATAGTACGAAAACGCACCCGAATTCTTCTGAGTTCCGTTAAAAGCGTCAGATGTCGCAGTGCGTAAGATTTCTATTGCCATACAAGCGTTACCAACCTTTAAAAATTGCAGGTTGCGAAAAATCGCAGTCAATAACTTTTAATAAAAGAATTGTTTAATTGAGAATTGTTCTGTATTCTGCAATTTTTTTCTAAAAAATGTGAAAAAATTGGAGAATAGGCCTTTGCATCTAAAAATAGATCATTTTTGCTATTTTAGCCTTTTGGCACTGTGCGCAAGGTTCAGATCAGAGTTTTTGGATTGGAAGATCCTGATAGGTCTCAAAATCTTCAGAAAAGTATCCGTTACGGGCTGAGTTTTGTGGAATTTTGATTTAGACCTTCATATCAGTTCTATTATTCAATGTGTTCTCAAAAACATTGATAACTTTTTTTTATATCTTGCTTTATTCACATCTGTTGGCATACAAACTTTTTTATAACTCTAATCAAAATTCCACAAAACTCAGCCCATAAAGGATACTTTTCTGAAGATTTTGAGACCTATCAGGATCTTGCAACCCAAAAACTTTGATCTGAACCTTGCGCACTGTGCCAAAAGGCTAAAATAGCAAAAATAAGCTATTTTCAGATGCAAAGGCCTATTCTGCAATTTTTCACATTTTTTAGGGCTCAAAGATGCCAATTTTATGTTGAAAATGTAAATTGACATTAAACTTTGGCTTATATGCAAAAAATGACAAAGAGGAAAGAATTGGTGTATGACTCCCCTTAATCAGCCCTCGTTAATTTCACCCTGGCTCTGTCGTATCACCTCTGGTCCGCATCATGGCCGTGCTCTATGCGCGATTCTGTGTTTTTTTTTTGCATGCAAAGATACCTTATTGTCTTGTAGAAGAAATTGCCATGGACGCGCTGAAAAAACACAAGTACTTTGGAGCACGACACAAGTTTATATCCATTAACGTTTCATTCCGTATAAATACGATAGTAGTTTCTACTTGAAACAAATCCAAGCGTAAAGTGCTCGCAACTTGGTTAATCTTATTAGAATGACTTCGCACTCTGATTGCTCTGATAATCAGTAGCTCTCATGGATGGAGATGCTTGAACCATGTCATGATTGAAGGTGGGTGATCAAAACAGATGCTATAACAACAGTCACCCTTATCGAGTCGAACTTCCGGTCATTGGCATTCCAACCAGTACCCTCTGATGCGGTAATCCTAGATGGCTCGGAAGATTCGCTATAAACATGAGCTTTGAATTTTATAGGATGAATATTAAGAAATGACAGAAGAACAAGTGGTATTGTGTATAGGGTATAGAATACCGTGGCAGTAGCAGTGTGTGCGTGTATGTATGCGCTCGTACCCGTCCCAGCTCCAGCTCGGCTCTCGGCTCTAAACCGCTATAGACGTGTTTACGTATTGCTCTACAAGTATTGCTAATTTTACCTAGTAAAAATCGGAAGAAAAATTTGGTTCTTGTTGTGGACGGTTACAAATAGTGATCTCTATAAGTTGAGTTTTTTTAAGTGCGCTGTGGTCTACGTACTTTTCCTGCAAATTTAATAAAAGAGTTTTGCTACTGAGAAGTGTGAAATTTGCTTAGTCAAAACTTGTTGACATTTGTGAAAGATCGATTGCCCGCTTAGCCAGTGTACGTTGTTGTCATTATTGACTTATTGTGTATTCATTGAATTCATCTTGAGCGTTATTTACTATGGACATCAGGAAATTTGAATCTTCGTCTGATTCTTACAAATTAATTTTTATCTTCAAGCTGCTAAATAGTAACAATGACACCACTCAAGCCTTATTATCGGAACTAAAATGCGTGAAATCGGAAGTCGCCAAGCAGAGTAAACGCATTGAGGAATTGAAAGCGGATAATGCCTTTCTGCATCGTGAGGTGTGCAGTCTAAAATCAATGCAATACAACGATACTTCGAGCACAGAATTGAAAATTTGTGGAATTCCATCTGTTTCATCGAAACAACCACGTAAGATTGTTGATGCGGTCCTTGACCACCTGAATCTAAGCACTATGAAAGGCGATGTTATCAAAACTCGTTTACTACCAAAGTCGGATGACCAGAAAAATATGAGAAGAAAAGATCCCACTTATATCGCTACTTTCAAGTCTACTGCAGTGCGAGACTTTGTAATTTAGACAAAGATAAAAAATGGCCAACTGAACTAGGGAAAACTTTTCAAAGATGATTGCTCAGACTCGATAATGAATTTGTACGCAGTGGAGTCTCCCTACATACACAGACTAAAACGTCAAGCCAGAGAATAAGCCAACAAACATAATTATTCCCGGATATGGATTCGAAATAATGCGGTTATTGTAAGCAACGATGATAACTCTCCACACATATCTATAGTCACCGAAAATGATCTCAGCAAGATCGTATGAAAAAATTTGAAGTAGAGTGATTTTTATCAATGAAGAGCCTGTGCTTATATACCTTTTTCCTTTTATTGAAAATTGTAATGTAATTATAATTGTTTTATTAAGAAATTTATTGCATTAATTGAAAATAATTGTACTACCTAAAAATTGATTGTATATATTATTTTCACCTTCCATTGTGTATTAAATAATTTCTAATGGGTATGAAGGTGGCACCCAAACTTCAACGTTCCTGCCAATGAAACGCGTCAATGAAACACAAACACGAATATTAACAAAAAACGTCAAAGTTTATTAAAAATTGTCGCTAACGTTTCGCTGAGTTAATCAGCCTCCTCAGAGCGATTGTTAGTAGCGAACGGCTACATGTCAACTGAGAGAAAGTTATGTATAATACAAAAACATCGATACACATGAGATCGCTCAAATTAAAATTATTTTAAAATATTGAAATAAACTCTGTTGAGTTTGTCAATATCTTCTTTCTTGTTCAGCACATTGCGTTGGTTATTGATATGTATCATCTCCCAGATCATTCTGGGCCAATATTTTGTTTCTCTGTCTAAAATCCCAACTTGGTCCCACCTCATATCATGACCGGGGTTGCGTAAGGTATGAACATATTGGCCTTTGAGACCAATTATTTCTCTCGTGGGTAGTCCGACTTACATCGTGGTCAAGTTACTATACGAAGAAATCGTTTCTCATGTCAAGCGACCAACGTCACACATCAACAACAGCTTTGATTTGAAAGAAAAAATGCATAGCATAACCATTCCTCCCGGTTACATTTTCCTATCTCTGGACGTCTCAAGTTTATTTACGAGTATTCCAGAGCGTTTGGTCTTAAATGCTTTGGACAAAAGATACACAGAGTTGTCACAGTCTAGATTGTCGTTCGATAAAATACGCAGGGCGACACAATTTCTGTTCCAGAACACGTTTTTTGCCTTCAACAAGATCTACTACCGACAGAGGTTTGGCACACCTATGGGAAGTCTAATTTCGCCACTGTTTGCAGACATAGTCATGGACGATCTCGAGCAGTGGTGTTGGAAAGAATTGGAGAAGCTTGGCTGTAATGTACTTTTTTACCATCGTTACGTGGATGATACCATCCTCTGCGTACACGAACAGTACATAAGTTCGGTAGTTCGTTTGTTCAACAGTTATCACCCGGCATTGAAGTTCACTTACGAACAAGAAAATCGAGGACATATTAACTTCCTGGACATGACTCTGATTAACCGTAACGGTAAAGTGTGCACAAATTGGTATAGAAAGTCGACCAACACCACAAGACTCCTCTCCTTCAAGTCAAAACACTCGACCCAACAGAAGATCAATATTGTGTACAACTTGACTGACCGAGCCATTTTGTTGTCTGACAAGAGTTTTCATGCCAGCAACTTAAATTTAGTCTCCAGCTTGTTGCAACTCAATGACTACCCACGGAGGTTCATCGACAAATATATAAACATCAGACTACAAGAGATCCAAAGGGAGAGGTTGATTCGTGAAGACGAAGTTTTGTCTGCCAAGATCGATGTGAGACCCTTCACTATGTGTTTGCCAGCGGTGGATACCTTCTTTGATCGGTGCCTAAACATGCTGAAGAAATACAACATCAAGGTTATACCACTACAGGACCGATCGATGGCTCCAATTATAAAACTTGGCAAGGATCGTGTAGAACCAATGGATACCGCTGGTGTGGTGTACCAACTGCAATGCAACAGCTGTGATACTCGTTACGTGGGCGAGTCAAAAAGACCTTTAAAAACGCGGATAAAAGAACATGAACGAGCCTGTAAAAACAAAAATCATGATTCAGTCGTGGCGCTTCATACCTTACGCAACCCCGGTCATGATATGAGGTGGGACCAAGTTGGGATTTTAGACAGAGAAACAAAATATTGTCCCAGAATGATCTCGGAGATGATACATATCAATAACCAACGCAATGTGCTGAACAAGAAAGAAGATATTGACAAACTCAACAGAGTTTATTTCAATATTTTAAAATAATTTTAATTTGAGCGATCTCATGTGTATCGATGTTTTTGTTTTTCGTGTATTATACATAACTTTCTCTTAGTTGACATGTAGCCGTTCGCTACTAACAATCGCTCTGAGGAGGCTGATTAACTCAGCGAAACGTTAGCGACAATTTTTAATAAACTTTGACGTTTTTTGTTAATATTCGTGTTTGTGTTTCATTGACGCGTTTCATTGGCAAGAACGTTGAAGTTTGGGTGCCACCTTCATAGCCATCAGAAATTATTTAATAAAAATTAATTGTTCACGTGCTAAAGATTAAGTTGAAGTGCTAAATTTTGCAAATTATCAAAATTATTATTGACTATAATCTGTCTTATATGTTACCATGATCTTACCGGACTTATTGTCGAAAATTTTTATTATTATTATTTGCAATTTCGTGAAGCTGTTTGAGACAGCTCAAATAATTTTGTTCTACTTTGTATAAAATTTTTGCCAGCCAAACTGTCCCGTAGGGATTTGGCTTCAATAAATGTTAACTAACTAACTCCAAGCAAAGGAAAAACTTCAATTTTGCAATCGTCGATCGAAAAACTCCGAGGTGCTTAAAGCGATTAAGACTTTCGCCTCTCATTCTTCGCCCCCTCTCAGCTTTCTCTCTCTTTCTACCGCTTGCTAAGTCCGCGAGTGTCTAACGAAGCGAGCTTTCGCAGAATATGTGTGCATTTAAGCTCGTATTTTGAGGACAAAAGAAAAGGGGGATAGTGAACTCGCGAGCGTGTCCAAGACATCATATTTCGGTTGAATTTTGGTAATTATTAATTGCAATCGGCCCTTTGACAGTCTGTCATGTTACTCGTTCTGGCTATCTATGCTACAGCAGCCACATTGATAAAGTTTCGCTCTCTTTATAATAGAGACTCGCACTATGCAATACACATATGGGGCGATGAAAATTTACAACGAATAAAATAACATGACGCAGTGAATAAGAAAGTTTCTTGGCAACGAGCGGCTGAGCTACACACAGGAACAGCAGCAGCAGCGGCGGATCTCGCAGGTCACATATTGATATTCGCTTAGAAAAAAAAGTTGCTGCCGTTGTCAGCTGCTGTTATTATTGCTTCGCAGACGTCCAGCCCATGAAAACTTGAGGCTAATCAGAATGCAAAAATAAATTGCTAGTACGTGCTATACTGCGAACTGGGACTCCCTCTCTCGAGTTGGTGGATTTTATAATTTAATACATGCCCGCGGCTATACATGTAAACAAGATAATAACACTTTGGCACTTGTATAGGTGTGTTTTTTTTTCTACTCCACCCCATTCGGATACTCACCGGTATCCGCCGTTAGGCATTGCTTCGGTGAGGCCGGGTTTAGTTGAGCATTTCTGCTACTTCTGTTAGTCGTTGTTTTTCCATACATCCCCCATCTGTCGCATAGTGATATGCGACGATTAGGGGTTCATTGACTCATCTTTTTTCTACTTGGTGAACCTCCGATCCCGCACGATGCCGTCGGCGATTGTCGTATCCCCTTCTTCAGAGCCGTCTACTGCGTGGTCAAACATTGCTGGCATCTCCTCCTGAGTTAGACGTCTTTTTAGGACTCGCTGTCTAGTGCCATCTTGTGAGTGTGGTTCTCGCCTCTGCCGCCGATGGCAAGTGCCCAATTTGCTCTGTCGGCGCCCTCTTGTGAGTGTGGTTCTCGCTTCCGACTTCATCATGGGAGTGTTGTGCTCCATCTATTGCCAGCCTCGTGAGTTCTCGCCTCGGGCTCCTACTTATGGTTATCCTATCGCTTCCAGCTCGCACATTGATCGGGGTTTTTAACCGCTTCGGAGGCTGATGACATAGCCCGGGTCTTATTTTTGCATGTTACCCGCTCAGACTTGGGCAGTAGAGGAGCACCAACGAGCGTGCCAACTGAAGTGAGTTGCAACAAATACAATTGTGTCATAGGAAGTTGGCTGCACGAGGCTCGTTTAGCTAGCCGCCGAACGCGGTATCAAACTCATTAAAAAAATGATTATGAAAAATCACGAGAAAAAATTGTATAAAAACTTTGAAAAAAATTTCTAAACGCAGTAAAATGCAAACCAAAACTGGCAACCACGTAGCCCAACTCGGGTATATTATTTAAAATATTGATCTGTAAACCAGAGCAGTAACTCACCTAGTCCAGCTGGCTTATATTTTTTTAAACAATTAAACTGCAAACCCAAGAATTTACCCACGTAGCTCAGGGTGATTATTATTTTGATAATAGGGTGACTAAAATTTTGCACTGAGACACAGCTGTTTCCGTGAGTTTTTTTCGTATACTTTACGAACATCACGCGGCAGATGCGTAGTCGGTGGCCCGCCTATCGAGTGTCGAGCGGGCTGTGGTACTACTGAAACCGCATCTCACGTCATTCAGGGCTGTCACCGCACTCATGGAGGCCGAATACTGCGACACGATGCAATTTGCCGTATCGCAGTCAGTAGCCTCCGGCAGTTGGGATGGAGTGTCCGGCAGGAGCCGCACTTTCATACCAGAGAAGGCTTGCGGAAGCCAGATATCGTCGCTGTAAAGGATCAGGTTGTCAAGGTGATCGATGCGCAAGTCATCAGCGCTTCATCGTCCCTTGACGACTCGCACCGTCGAAAAGTCGCCAAATATGATACCCCTCACATTCGTCATCAGGTCGCCAGTGAGTATGGGGTCGAGAACAATAACATCTCGTTCTCTTCGATCATGATCTCCTGGCGGGGTATCTGGTCCGCTGCTTCCGCCGCGAGTCTGTGCGAGCTCGGATTGAGCAAATATTTGGATTCCATCACGTTTAGAGCTCTCCGTGGTTCGTACATGAATTGGCTCCGGTGGAATAAAATGACCACGCACATCAGTGGTTATACAGGTATTAACTCTGCAGGTCGAAGAGAAGGCATAGGGTAGCCTTGACATCATCTCGCGCACATTTTTTGGAGAACGTGGTCTCCCACCATCTAAGACGGCACCACGAAATAAAGCCACGTCCGAGCACTTCCATCGCTCGGGCAGATAGAGTTTTAGTGGGTATTCCCTCACCGACACAAATCGGTTGAGGGCGAGTCCCACACACGGGGAGGTTCGGGGTTTATTTCAACTCAAACCTCCTTGCGGTGCGTAACGCATTTCTCTATCTATAAAAAAAAAAAAAATTAAAATATTTTTTCTTTTGCGTTTTCTGGTGATTAGTGTTTTTGGCCACCTCTTGTCATTTTCGCGTGGTCGCGTACACTTTATCCGAACATCAATGCTCATTGCTACTACTTCGGGTGAGACGATCGAGCACGCAGATTGCTATGCATAAACAGTTAAAGACCGATTCTTTTTCATTTTTAGTTTTTGCCGAAATTGAAATCATAACAGTATTGTTTGAGAGTGATCTATGAGCTCAATCGTTTCACCCGAAGTAGTAGCCGTGAGCATTGATGTTCTGAAGAAGTGTACGCGATCCTGCTGCTAAAACTCAAACGGTGCCCTGTGAAAATTACAAGTAGTGGCCAAAAATACTAATCGCCAGAAAACGCAAAATAAAAAAATTTAATACGTAAAGTATACGAAACAGCTCATGGAAGCAGCTGTGCAAAAATTCAATAAAATAATTTTGAGTTTAAAATGTATGTAAGCTCTTTTTATTTACATACCAGTCAAGCTGAGCTACGTGGATTAATTCTTGGGTTTGCAGTTAAATTGTTTAGAAAAATATAAGCCAGCTGGACTAGGTGAGTTACTGCTCTGGTTTACAGATCAATATTTTAAATAATATACCCGAGTTGGGCTACGTGGTTGCCAGTTTTGGTTTGCATTTTACTGCGTTTAGAAATTTTTTTCAAAGTTTTTATACAATTTTTTCTCGTGATTTTTCATAATCATTTTTTTAATGAGTTTGATACCGCGTTCGGCGGCTAGCTAAACGAGCCTCGTGCAGCCAACTTCCTATGACACAATTGTATTTGTTGCAACTCACTTCAGTTGGCACGCTCGTTGGTGCTCCTTGGCTGCCCAAGTCTGTACCCGCTCCACCTCGGGCACGGGCTCAACCACACCAGGCAAAAAAACAAACCTCGCAAATTCGCGAAGTGGGGATCGAACCCACGCCCTACGGCACACCTTGTATCAGCAGGCAAGAACTATACTCACTGAGCCAAGGAGGCCAATCATTGTATAGGTGTGTGTGTGTATGTTTTTTTTTTCTACTCCACCTCTTGTCTTTCTTCTAGCTGAAACAAAAAATAAAGTTTTATAATGATTACATGATAACAATATTATTATTTACTCACCTAATACTATGCAAATATCCTTATGGTTTGCTGTATTGCAGAGCGACACATGGGGCAAGGCTGTAGCAGCAACGCCTGACTGCAGTCGTAGCAGCATATGTAATGCCCGCATGGCTAGAAGCAGTGCGACTTCGGCAGATCACGGCAAATGATACAAATAGCTGTAAAAAAATGTTCATTAGTAACATAATTAATACCTAATTAGTAAAAAAATTAATACCTATTTCTGGAGCATCGTTTTCGGGTGGACGTGGTACAGCAGCGACAGCAGCATTATTTACTATCATATCGGGAACATCTGGAACGGCAACAAGGCCAACGCTGATTGGATGGGGAGCTGCAACCGCAGCGATAACATCAATCGGGTGCATAGCGAGAGCATCATTTACAGGCTAACGTAAGAACACACGCACTGCATTAGCATCGAGAAAATTATTCTGAGGCACATCTCGAACACTGAGTGCTACCGGTCCATCGTTCATATGGGTCACATCGTTCATATCGTTCATCGTTCATCATTCTTGGTCGACAACTGAAAAAACATGAAGAAAAATTAACTGTATGTTTCATCAAACTTTACCGTTATCGCCAACGTTGACACATTTTTCACATAGTGGCTAGGTATATATAGACATAAAGTTGCGCCGTGTTCATCGTATTTATAAATAAATTAGTATCTAAACGTACCCAGTTTCAACGCTCGTGTTTTGAGAT